GTATGAACAGGATATTTATCCTTCTAGCAGAAAAAGTTTCTAATTACAGTACTTTCTCTTTGTAAAATACTAAACACAAATCTCTTTGAATTATGCAACTGGTATGTACTGAAATGGGCTCTCAGATCAAATCACTCAACAGCATACAGTATGGATCGAAAGAATAAGCTTGACAGAAGGATCATGAACTTCTTGCCTGCTCTTCTCTCCTAAGATATGTTCAGCATATATTTAAGATTCTCAATAGCAAAGAGCTACAAAACTATATCAACATTGCAGGTGCTGGGATGATGACTACTGTACAATGGTGTGTAAATCATTTTTTAAAAATCGTATTTAATGAAATGATACTTGTTTACAGTCAATAACAGAAATTAAAAATAGCATTCTCAACATTAGAGGATTTAAGATTGCCAAAAAAAGCAAAGGGGGCCAAGGAACCATTTCCATTAGTTAAGTGCTTTTTAGATTCAATTGGCTATAGACTTACCTGGAAGTAAACCCCTCTGGGGATGCCAGTACAGGTGATGAAAGCCACAGTCATTCAAAGTAGCAAGTAGCAACAGAGCAGAAAGTAGACTATGAATACAGCATAGAACATTTACCAGCCTTGATTGAAAACAAGGCTAGAATGTACTTCTGCTTGGCATTTCAGACAGCTGCTACTACTCAAAAGACAAAATATTCTGTTGAGCAATGATCATAGTCAGAGTAGTGAAGCTTCATGTTTTTGAGACAATAGTTTCTTGTAGCCAGTTCCAATTAGATAAATCAGGCTGTAAAGCATGTTCAAAAAGAAATGCCTTTTTTCATTATCATAACACATTAAATATATTACAACTTCTAAAGAGCCAACTGTATGATATAATTCAAAAGGAGAATTAACAGAACTCATCAGTGAATGTTATTTCTATAGTAATATCTCTGAACTGGAAGATCTATAACATTCCCAACCCTTACTGAAATCTGTAGGAGAGACATTGGTTGGACAAACATGTCTAATTACTATTTTCACAGCAGTATAGTTTCTATAGATCAGTCTCATTGATTACAAAGATCAGCAAAAAGGTAGAAGGCACAACAGTCTAGGGCAAAACCATCTTGAAGCTACAGTCTGACGCAAAAAAAAAAAAGCTACTAATTTTAAATATCATTTAACTTTAAGAGAAAGGACAAAGCAAAAATGGAAACATGAAAATGAACTAAGTATAAGAAAATAGCCTTGTTCATCTTCAGAATATCAAAGCTTACTGTAACCAAGACATACAGTCATCCCACTAGAAATAAGCATATTTACCCAGAAATGTGCGTGGCAATTAACCATCATGGTCCTCTCAATAAGTTCATCAGGACATTCCAGAAGATGGTGGCCGGAAACAACACCAGCGTTGTTCACGAGGACTGAGACTTCACCAACCTCCTTGCAGACTCTCTCAGCAGTCTTGTACACATTCTCTCTGTTACTCACATCACAAGTGTATGTATGAACTTGTAAGTTGTAAGGAGGTAGCACTTCCTCTTCACCATGCCCAGCTGCTTACAGAAATCCAGAAAAGCAAAGGAGAGGGACAAATAAGAATTTAATTAAATATATATTCAGTGTTTCCATACCAGGAAATAAGAGGCCATTATTAATCTACCCAGTTTGACAAGATTCTTGTTAGTCCTGTTCCAAAAAATAAAGTGTGACAACTACATACCAAAACAATGAAGTACCAAGCCCTACAGTACTAATCTTCAGGAGTGATCTACTGATGCCAAATGGAAGGCAACATGACCAAGGACCATTACTAATTAAAAAATGAAACAGAGAAACCCCAAGCTCAGTAGGGACATGTAGACCTAACTTTTCCATATTTGTTCAAAAACAAGCCTTTATTTAGTATCATTTATTTATTTTGCAGGCTGCAATCTTTAAGTTATTTACCTGGGAATAAGTGCTATGTAATTAAGACTTCCTATCAAGTAGGTTTGACATTATTTAAAATTATTTATATCATTGTGCAAATTATGCCACTTCCTACATCCTTATGTCAAGGAAAACACTTGACATAAGCGCTTTTTGCTTATTTTTGCTACTGTCTATTTCTTAAATTGTAACAATCTATTTAAAAAAGCCTAGCTCCTACTATGATAGAATTCTGTTGTCACCATTGTCATTTTTCTGTAAGCTTTGAACCCTTAAACTTTAAAATATTTATCCCGTGTCTTTTAGTCATTCAAAATCATGGAGTAGAATGACATGGAAATTTATTTATTTAATTTGTACAACCACCCATCTCCAACCAGTGACTCTGAATGCAAACAATCATGAAGCATTTAAAACAAAATAAAAATAAAAGGAAATACAAATAGCTCAGAGACATTATAATACAATGCTATCAACCTCAGGCAGTTGAACAACAACAACAACAACAATGCCCAAATTCCTAAACTTCTTGGGTGGCAAGAATGGAGAATACTTCCCCAATAACCACAGTTTTAAGGATACCCTTCAATGCTTCTCTTCCACCCTCCACTCCTAAAGCTAAAACTTTTGAATACTTTCAAGTCTGCTGCCCTTAAGAAGAGCAGGGCAAGTCACTCTGGAGAGACTGCAAAGCAGCAACACAACTCACTGAACCTCCTAGTGACTTGTGGAAATGTTTTCTCCTGCAAAACATCTGGATATTCCTACCTTAAGCGCTGGACCAGAACCAGTCAATATTTGAAGGTCTCATTTAGTTATACATTGAACTCAGTGAAACAGGAAACTCTATTCCAAGCACTATCAAGAAATAGGAATAGGAATAGGAATAAGAATGGAGAATAAAAGTAAGAAGCTGAAGAAGCTTCTTGGATGAGAATCTTCAAAGAAAAACCAGAAAGTCCAGTTGCCTCTTGAAAAAGCACCTTTGTGCTTTTACCTTTATCAAGAGTAATAGTTTCAACTGTGGCCCTCATACTCCTAATTTTCCTCCCCTTCTCATCTCAGCGCACCTCAGGTTAGGATTTGATGATACCCACACAACTCCAATTTTCCCCCTTCGAAAGAAACAACCCTCGATGCCCACTTTTCTTGACCCCTTGGAGAATTTGGCGCCCGCCTCACGCGCCGGTGCCCAACCCCGGAGGGTCCACCCGCCTTCAGCCAAGCCCGTTACCTTTCTGAGCCGCGACCACGGCTTCTTCCGAGATCTCCCGGTAAATGTGCCGCACCATGCCCGCCGTCTCCTCGTTGCTCTGCGTGTTGATGTCCCACAGGACCAAGCGTGCTCGGCGGCGGGCGAACTCCAGAGCGAAGAGCCGACCCAGCCCGCTGCCGGCGCCGGTAATCAGGCACACCTGCCCGGCCACGCTCTTCTCTTTGGGGCGCATGAGCCATTTGGCGGCGGCCACCACGAACGCCCAGAGGACCTTGAAGGTGACCACGAAGAATTCCAGGATGATGTTCATGGCTGCCGAGCCGGAGAAGCCTCGGAGGATTCGGGGAGCCCCGTCTGGCGAAGGCGCGAGCGAGGAGGGCGTGAGGGCGCTGGGTTCCCTGCGCCGCACAGGACTTGGGCACCGGCTCGACAAGTTAAAAGCAGCGTGCCAGGTCAGAGCAGGAAGAGCCGCTGTTCTCGCGCGCCTTGCCCCGAGCAGTTCGGGAGAGTGGCTCCCACTCTTCAGAGAGGCCGGCAAGAGTTGGTCTCTCACACACTCTTTGGACACTTTCTAAAGACACCTGGCTGGCCGGGACAGACCTGTAGGGAGTGCAACTCCTCCCCGCCTCTGACTCAGCGGTTGTTTTGTGCGGCGAACACAAGCCCTGTTACCTAACGGTCACCTTGCCTCTCTTGCAGGAGAAGCCAAACCTACACGCGGCGAGTCGAGGCGGGAAGTGGCCAAAGTTAAGGGAGCAAAGTACAAGTTCGGATTTCCCTTCGTCCTGCCTCACCCGCTCGCGCACCGCTGGGCTCCCCTAGAAAAGGGCGCGCGCTGCGACCACCTTGCTTGCCTCAACTAGAATGCCGAAGGAGTCTTAAGAGGCGGCTGCTTGGAGCGCCGCTGCCGCTCTTCCACGCCTCCTTCCCCAGCCCTACCTGCAACCTTTACCTCGCGCCTACGCCAGGGCTCCGCGCAGCGCCCGCTAAGTGAGCATGTTCGCACCGCTCGGGGCTCTATATAGCCCCGGCGCGAGAACGCCAGCCCGCCCCCAAGCCCCCCCTCCGTCTGCGCTTCGCAGCCCGGCCCCTCCTCCTCGTCGCCCACTTTGCATTCCGAACCGTTTCTCCCCACACATTTTCGCCCAACAGCGCCACCCTCGCCATTTGGCGGACGGCCCGGACTGGACGGAACGGACAAGTCCCCCACGACCGGGACCTTCCCTACCAGCCACCACTGAGAAAAAGAAAAGAAAAAACTCGCGGTTTTTTCCTTTTGTTTGGCGGCGTCCACGGATTGGGCCCCGGAGTGGGCGAACAAGCCCAGGCGTGCGTCCTTTGCCAGCGAATCCCATTTCACTCAACAGACACCTGAGTGAGAGTATAGCACCACGAAGCACGGTGTGACCAGGGAGTAGAAGTCCCCGTGGCTAAATTCACGCAGTACTTACAGTGCTCACAAAGAGGAACCAGGTGGTAGTTTAGCGTGATCTGTAAACCCGTCATGAATTCTATGCCATCTTTGAACAAAGTTACTATCGCATAAATGTATCTCAGATTGTTAATCTTGATTCCAGGACAAAAGGAGTGGGTTTTTAAGGTACTTGGAGATTGCCGTTTTCCTGTAACAGACTAACCCTGCCGGAAGCAATGTGAATCGGGAACATTATTGAGTGGAACGCCTTATTTTTCTTTACAAGTGGAGAAAACTCTGTAAATTGGAGCAAAAGAGAGGCGCGCTGGTTTCTACCTGAAACCACTTCCGTCGTCTAGTCCGCAGGACCACTTCCACGTGTAATTTTTTTCCCATCACCATTCCCAATAACTGGAGATCTGATCAATCCGATCCACAACGCGGTCCCAAATTAGTTGGAGGACATTTAAAGTTGATTTATTCCTATCCCACATAAACTTCCTCGACATCTGCAAAGCAGTGATTTCCCATGGAATTTACGGCCAAACATTGGGAAAGATCAAGTTCAGAAAGGATTTCTGCACGAGTGTGACGTCACACGGGATTCAACTGGATTGGGAAGGCTGAAGTTAAGGAGGTGACCTACAGACACCAAAATTCCTAACCGGCCAATGATGTAACTTCAGAATGCACCTGACTGCATGCCTCTATGTAGAAAGACTTGCTCCCGTAGCATGTTGTAGCTCATTTTTTTTCTCTTTTGCCCGCCTAGGGTTGAAATGCTGGGGAATGTAATTTTTACATAAGCATTTGGCTTTTCTCTCGTCTTTTAGGCTTTCTCATGCTCCGGATTCAGTTTACCCATTGTACTCATAATGAACAGGATTTACTGTAAACTAAAGCATCTTTCAAGCCGAGCTTGACACGATGGACAGTCTGCATAGCTTTCTTGGCAATAAAATGAAAGAAGATTGCCTTTACCAAACTTCCAGCCGATCTTTCATCCAAATGCTAAACAAACCAGACATGTTCAAACCCAGCCACGTGCTGCTCTTCGTACAGGGACGTTGAAATTTACATGGAGTAAATAGAATAGAATGTAAATCCGTGTAATGTGATGTGATCCCCACGAAGTATTCCAATTTCCATATAGTAGCCTAGTGAAAAAGGCACTTGGGAAAAGCCTTAGGAGAAAGCCCCACTTAACCAACCTGGGTCAGATATACAGTAAGGACGGCATACTGTATTCTATTCATGTAGACGTCCTTTATATTTAGACGATACTGTTTGATTGCCTAGAAAAGGAGATACGAAGAGATAAAAGCAGGTAATATTATCAATCAAATTCCAAAATAGGTTACTTTAATACACTGATAAAATAATATACCACCCCTTCTTATCGCCTACCCTGGTTGGCAATAAAAACGAAAGTATGGAAAAATCTTTCACCATTTGAAGGAGTCACGACAGCTTCCGCGTTCGTTTCAGCACTAATCTGGTCCCCAAGATGGTCTACTTGGTGCAGGCGTTAATTTAGACAGCTAAACGGGAGCGGGGGCTTCTCCTTCAGCAGTCCCACCTATTGGCCCGCTAAGCGACAGTTCATCTTCTCTGCGCATGCGCCCCGTCTCTCTTTTTCCGGTAGCGACCATGGCGGCCGAGGAGTAAGTAATGCTTTTGGGAGGCAATCTGTTGCCATCCACCGCGTTAAGACTTTCTTTGCAAGCCTTTCTTTTTAAAAAAGTTTTATCATGGCTTTGTAACTTGGAAGGTTTTCCCTAAACTAGTGCAACAGTTGTCTGGAAGGGTTAATTAGGGAGATGTGGCTGAGAACTGAATCCCTGCTGTTATGCATCGCGTTGAGAGTTGTAGAAACTTATTTTTTTCAGAGCGAGAGAACTCTAATGGAGGAGGGCATTTGCGGCCTCCCAGGTCCACTATTGTTTGATTAATGGTTGATTAACCATTTATTTTATGAATGGTTTAATCTAGGCCTAACTTTTCCCTTCCGGTACTGTCCACGCATACAGTGGGGGGTGAATGGAAGACAGCAAGGAACGTGGGTCCTTCGCTTAAAATCAGGGATCCGAAACTCCGCGGTATTCATCGTTGAAAATAGCAAAAAAAAAAAAACAAAAAAAAAAACCCAATCTTGGAATTCTTCCTGCTTTTTCCATGATCTCTGAAAATAAATGTCTTCCAACTTCTGTCTGTCAGTAGTAAACTTGGTTTCTCTGTAAGTTTTAGAACTATTTTAGTGGGGCAAAACATGTGCAATAGTAACAGGCAGAGTGAGTTGAAGGAAGTGTTTTTGTGACTGATAGTGTAAGAATGGTTGATGATGCATATTTGGATAATTAGAATAAATACCATAAAAACTGTAAAAAGGAGCCAAATAAGTTAAGAACAAAGTATATCTGAATTATCTGGTGTGCTTATATTTCTTGCAGTTCTAGGGTTTTTTTAAAAAAAAAATGGGTACATTTTACAAGTTATCAAACATTTTCACTTGAATAATTTTTGTTAATTTGCTTTATAATTTAGAGGAAAGAAGAAGTTGCCTTCCGTGCCAGAAAGCCTTTTAAAGAAAAGGAAGGCTTTTGCTGATTTAAAGGCCAAACGTATGAAGAGACTGTTGGTCCAAAAGAAGGTAAATACTATATTTTTAATCTACCCCAAGAGACACATCCTATGACAGTTTACATAAGAGTAGAGTAAAACAATAAAATCCAGTATGATTTAATGAATTATATGCTCTTTTACATAGAATATAGACACGTCTATTTGGCTTATTAGCAAGTAAATCTGTATCAAATTGCAAATTAGTATGTGACTTTTTATTTAAAGTCAAAGGTTTCAATTGTTGCCCTGGTATGTTTCATTTTGTTCTGAAGAGAGAGTACTCAACTATGAACCTGCAAAAACTGCATTTATTTTTAGCTTTACTTTGAATTTTCTTTTAGTGTTTTGTAGCAGTGTGGCATCTACAGAATCCCAAGGTTTTCCCATTTCAAGCAAAACAGAGCAGCTTATCTTAAACGTTGTGCTTTTATTCTGAGTGTTCTGCTTTTTTCCCTGGAATGGACTGCATTCTCATTTCAGATGCGAAAGGAGGAACGAAAAGTCATTTATAAAAGAGCCCAGACCTACCACAAAGAATATAGGCAGATGTACCGTCGTGAGATTCGAATGGCACGCATGGCTCGCAAAGCTGGCAATTACTATGTACCTGCTGAACCCAAATTGGCATTTGTAATCAGGATCAGAGGGTAAGGTAAACAAGTGTAATGCTAACCCTATGTGTAGTACTATCTAAGCCCTGGTAGGAAAGCCACTGTTAAACAATTCAAGCCAATACTAATTAGACAATTTTATTTAGAGGTCAGTTTTTTTATTAAGGATATTTTGATTGTTTATCACATTTACCTTGTCCAGTATTCAATTTATTCACACTTTAAAGGCAGTTTTAAGTAGAATTTAATGCTTTATTTCTATCCCAGTATTGTACTGATTATATACTCTATGAAGTCACCGAGTCAGATCATTTTTGACACTGACCTGAAAGGTTTTAGGCAAGATTTTTTACTGTTCTAACATAATGAGCTAAGAATTGAAGTTCAACATCTTGCATACAAAGAGATGGTGTATTACTGATCTGTTGATGAAGAATTGTAAATTAGCAAATGTTGGGTACAAAATGAGTGTTTGTTATATACAGACATATAGAGAAAAATATAGGATAATATGTCAGGGATGTGAAAAACTCACTGATGCAGAAATAGAAATTTCGTTAGAAATCTGGAACTTTCTGCTCCCCCTTCTGCTGTTGAGAGGGTGGTTCTGCAGCTGTTGGAACTAGATCCTCCAAACTGGAAGCAGTTTGAAGTGTTCTGGGGTAATCAGTCCTGAAATAGGCCCCCCTTTTCAGGATATCTCAAACAGCTTCTGGTTCTAAGCTTTTACTTCTGGAGACCATGAAACTGCTATTTTGGACTGCGAATAAAACATTTCATAATTCCCTGGAAGTTTCCATGCTTAAATCAGTGAGTTCTATAGATGACTTACATGTTTGCATGTAGTAACCAGTGTATGCTATGTTTGATCATCTATACCTTCATAATTAATTTCCAATAGCTTCTTAGTTCAGATTAATTAAGAAATGCATTTTTAGGGTATAGGTAATCACTCTTCTTTTGTAGAAGAGTGTTTTGCATAGCTCCTAGTTAGATAACAGGAATTGCTTACCTTGGTTGATACCATAAAAGCTAAACAGGATTGGACCTAGTAAATGAGAGACCACTAAAAAAATTTGTGTGTAGCTAGGCTGGAATGTTGAAAAAAAACCATCCCAGAATAAGTTTAGAAAAGCACATTGATGTTGTTTCTAAGAAATAGATGGACTTGCATCCTTCAATTACAGAATAGGTTATTAATGTAGGACAACAATTATATATATTTTATACGATGCAACTTTTAGTATTATATGTTATCTTATAGATGCAAATTTATTAATAGCAAGTGCCTTGAAAGAGGCGGTGGTGAGGCCTCTCCTCAAGAAGCCGTCCCTGGATCCGGCAATATTGGCCAACTACCGTCCTGTCTCCAACCTTTGCTTCATGGCGAAGGTTGTTGAGAGTGGTCGCGCGACAGTTTCCACAATTCCTGGAGGAAACATCTTATCTAGATCCGTTCCAGTCGGGTTTCAGGTCTGGGCACAGCACGGAAACGGCATTGGTCGCGTTGGTTGATGATCTCTGGAGGGCTTGGGACAGGGGTTGCTTCTCTGTTCTGGTCCTGTTAGATCTCTCAGCGGCTTTTGATACCATCGACCATGGTATCATGCTGCATCGGCTGGAAGAGTTGGGGGTGGGAGGCACTGTGTTGCGGTGGTTCTCCTCCTCTCTCTCTGACCGGTCGCAGTTTGTGTTGGCAGGGGGGCAGAGGTCGACCTCGAGGCCTGTCATCTGTGGAGTGCCGCAGGGATCGGTCCTCTCGCCCCTTTTGTTCAACATTTATGTGAAGCCGCTGGGCGAGATCATCCGTGGCTTCGAGGTGAGATACCACCAGTACGCTGATGACACCCAGCTGTACATCTCCACCCCAGGCCACCCCAACGATGCCCTTGAAGTGATGTCTCAGTGCCTGGAGGCTGTGCGGATCTGGATGGGGAGGAACAGGCTCAAGCTCAACCCTTCCAAGAATGAGTGGCTGTGGCTCCCGGCATCCCGATATAGCCAGTTGACTCCATCACTGACTATTGGGGGCAAATCTTTGGCCCCCACAGAGAGGGCTCGCAATCTGGGAGTCCTGGATATGCAGCTGTCCTTGGAGGAACATCTGACGGCTGTAACCAGGGGGACCTTTTGTCAGGTTCGCCTGATTCGCCAGTTGCGGCCCTTTCTTGATTGGGATTCCCTGTGCACAGTCACTCACGCCCTCGTCACCTCTCGCCTTGACTACTGCAACGCTCTCTACATGGGGCTCCCCTTGAAGAGCACCCGGAGGCTCCAACTGGTCCAGAATGCAGCAGCGCGGGTAGTGACGGGAGCAGGATGGCGCTCCCATGTAACACCGCTCCTGCGCGAGCTGCATTGGCTCCTGGTGGTCTTCCGGGTGCGCTTCAAGGTGTTGGTTATCACCTTTAAAGCACTCCATGGCATAGGGCCTAGCTACCTTCGAGACCGCCTGCTGCTACCAACGACCTCCCATCGACCCGTGTGCTCCCACAGAGAGGGCCTCTTCAGGGTGCCATTAGCCAAACAATGTAGGCTGGTGGCCCCCAGGGGGCGGGCCTTCTCTGTGGGGGCACCCACCCTCTGGAATCAGCTGCCCCCAGAGATAAGGAGAATCCAAGCCCTTTGTGCCTTCCGCCGTGCCCTTAAAACTTTCCTTTTCCAACAAGCCGGGCTGGCCTAACAAATCCTTTTAAATGATTTTAAATTCGTATGTTTTTTAATTTTGGGCCAAATTGAGATATTTCCTTTTAATCTGTTCTTAATGTTTGTATTATGTACACCGCCCTGAGTCCCCAGGGAGAAGGGCAGTATATAAATTTGAAGTAAAATAAAAATAAAAATAAAATTTAAACGTATGTGCTAAAAAGAGTTTCTATTTTGCCGTTTAGAATTAATGGCGTGAGCCCCAAGGTTCGAAAGGTACTACAGCTCCTTCGTCTGAGGCAGATTTTTAATGGGACTTTTGTGAAACTCAACAAGGCATCCATTAACATGCTGAGGATCGTTGAACCTTACATTGCTTGGGGGTAAGTTGAATCACGTTTAATGATCACTGATTTTTTAAAAAAGGATATATCATTTATTAAAATCTGGTGAAATCTACCTTTTGTTAGTGCTCGCATTCACTTTTTAGTAGTGTCTTTGCTGATTTGCCATTTAGAGAGTCTTTGATCTAGAAGAGATTTTGCAACCCGGTCCTCAAACAACCCAGGTTTTATTATACCAGACTGTGTAAGACTTGGGGTCTGCTAACTATGGTTATAGGAAGCAGGGTACTACAAGTGTTATAAGATTAAAAACTTTTCTTACTTTATTGAGA